GGCAGGGCTTAGCAGGCATTTGATTTCTGCAAATCAAATGAACTTTTAATCATTTAATTCTGATATCGGTACACCCCGATACGAACAACACAGTACTCCGCTTTTTTTTTCTGGTCCAGTAGAAATTAACATTTTTCAGTTACTTTCTCACATTTTCAACTATAAATCATTTGTAATACCATCTTGACGTGAAGCTAATTTCACTTTCAAGAAATACTGGCAAGTTTTATTACTTTCTCAAGCTTGAAATTTACTTACCCTTGGTAAGAGAAAATGGGGATTTTATAGCTTTAATCTTTGAAAGTAATAGAATGACCTACATATGGGGCAGGTCTTTTGAAGCAAACAATTTCCTTTTTTCTCATTATAGTTTTTCCTTGTATATTAAATGATGTGAAATATATTTGTGTTAAATGTGATATTTATATAAACATTATTATTGTATATATCACACTATCTGTAACAGAATAGTTTAAATGTACTCGAGAGGATGTGTGATAGGAACTGGTGGATACTCATACCACTATCATGTGTGTTATTGAACGCCTTGTTCATGAATGGATTAGATATGAATCCACAAAAGGGAGCAGTGGAATTCCTCAGCAAATATTATCTCGCAAGTAACAAATGCTAGATGACTTGTAAGTCATGTTAAAACATGAGTAAGTTAAGGAGACCATCTTCATGAACGAGATAAGTGACTTATTCCTCTGTTGCCTTGTGTGGACTAAGTTTATGCAATGTGTGACTTTACAGGTGCATTGAGAGATTGTGCACACATTATGATGAGATCATGCCAGCAGAATAATGCAGCCTCGCTTGAAGCTGATGGACATTATCCTAGAAGTCTGCGCATGTTGAGTGAATAAAATAATAGATTTTAGCCTGACTCAGGTCTACTTTTCCAGTGAGTTGCAAATATTATAACTTGGTGATGATATATAATTAATATGTTATTTCTTTTTTGTTGCACAAGGGAAGCAGGCCTGATCTTATGATTTCAATTTGTTACATCCAGCCATAGATACGGAAATAATGCAGTAACGTGTTTCAATTTAGCTAAAATGGGACAAATGCACTGTAGGTAACTTCAGTAAGTGGGACATGTAAAGCAAGAGCATCATTTTAGTTTGAAAACATAGTGTCTGATTTTAATCAATTGTTTTGTTGCAAATTGTATTGGAGCTGCATGTGTCAAGAGGTGAGTATAAAGGCAATATGTTTGGTATTGAGTCCCATGGGGAAAAGAAATCTTAAGCAAAGGAATGCTAAAGATTTTTGGAAGGTACATTTTCTGAAAATGGTATATAGAGAGGGAGTAAATGGGTGATGAAGAGAATTCGAGACCCAGCTAAACAGAGAGGATAAGAAACTGAGATCAGTTCAGATCAGAGTTAAAGCCCTATTTTCTATAAGTAGTTGGATTTACAGAAGTGATCTGAAACCAACTTTGGAGTTTTGTATTCAGTCTTGGATGCTCCACTTTAGGAACAATATTCTGACCTTGGAGCAAATTCAGTGGTCATACCTGGGATAAAGGAACTTAGCGAAAATTAAAGTTTAGTTATGTAAATTGTAGATGAAGTGCTTAATGACACTCAGCTCTTTAAAATAGAGGGAATTGGCAAAGTTGACAGGGATCAACTCTTCTCTGGTCGAAAACTTCAGCAAAAAGGAACATAATAAAATAATAGATTGGCTGTTAATTGGCTTAATAGATAAGCCAATTAAAAGTGAATCATAAATACAATCACTGATTCTTTTTACCATTCCATATTACGAGAAAATACATACACTGAATCAGTCTTATTCTTACTGAATTGCATGCAGTATTAACTGGAAGAGAATATTTGCAATTGGCTGAATTTCTTAAACAAGCAAATCTATTTTTTAAACGTTCCTTTAAAAAGACTTTTGATATGTTGAATTATCAGTTGATATTTTTGTGGTAACTTGCAGTAATAGAAACTTTTGAGTTCCATGAAGCTGCTTTTTTACTTACAAAACAAAAAAATGTTTGGAATGTCAGTTTCCTCCAACTTGTTTGGGTATTGACATTTGTTTGTAGGTTAAACAAGCTACTGCGCAAATCAACCACAACAACAACAAAATTACATTTATAGAGAGCCTTTCACGTCGGGAGAATGTCCCAAAGGTGTCGGGGCCCGAGCATGGGGGAGGGGGGTGTAGGGGTGAGGGAAGGCAGAGAGGTGGGAGGGTGACCAAAGGCACGATCGAAGAGAAGGGTCTTGAGACCGGCCTTGAAGGAGGCAAGGGAGGAAGCGAGGCGAAGGGACCCTGGGATGGAGTTCCAGAGTGTGGGGGCAGAGAGGCTGAAAGCCCGGCCACCGACGGTAGGGCGGGTCGGGCGGGAGACATGGAGCAGGCCGGAGCGCGATGAACGGAGGGAGCGGGCAGGTTGGTAGGGAGTCAGCAGGTCAGAGAGGTAGGAGGGGGCAAGGCCATGGATGGCCTTAAAGGTGAGGATGAGGATCTTGAACTCGATCTCTGGGGAATGAAGAGCCAGTGGAGTCGGGCGAGGGTGGAAGTGATAAGGTCACGGAGCCTGGTGCGTGAAACTGGATGTTAAAGATGCACAGACCCGCTCTGTAGCACTGCAGGCTGAGTTTTGTAATGCAAGCTGTTGGGTGTCTTAAAGAGCATAATAATGGGAACATTATGCACAGGATATGTTGGTGTGCATGTTCAATATCACGTCTTCGAGATGTCTCAAAGCACTTCACAGAATATACTTTAAAGTGAATTGACTGTATATTTTATGGGCGAAATGCGGCAACCAATTGTGCACAGCAGTGTCCCACAAACAGTCATGGATTGAGAAGCATATCTTTGTAGGTATTTCTCAGTGTTCCTGATCGATGAAGAATAAACGGGTGGTGTGTTTTATCTAATACCCTTACGCACTTTGAGCTTCAAATTGTATGTACTATGGTATGTAATGTTTATCAGACTGGAAGAGCTGCTTCAGGCAATAAGGGAAGTAAGCCCTTATAAAGTTGTGATGTCTATAGAGGATTCTTGACTTCAAAATTGGCATTTTGCAATGCAATTAAAAACCTTCAGGTGTAGCACATTTCTGAATACGATGCTTGCTTTGTGGTTAGCGGCCCTTTCATTCCTTAAATAAAAGATGATAATTTAACCAATAATGTTTATTTCTTGAATAAAAGATGATAATTTAACAAATAATGTTTAAGTTACAAATTTAAAACCATGTTAGCAACACAAATATATGTTCTTCACTTTAACAAAGCTATGTATGAAGACTCTCTATTTGCATCCTCCACACCTCAGGCACTGAAAGCATCACCATCCATGATGCACACTCCACCTTACTAAGCCAGTCCGGAACCTTATGGTCTTGTTTGACCCTCGACTATCCTTTCTACCCCACATCTGTGCCATGACCTGCTCTGCCTTCCTCCACCTCCGCAACATCATCCAGCTCCGCCACAATCTCACACAGCAGGCCACTGAAACCCTCATACATGCTTTCATTACGTCGAGGCTTGACTGTGCAAACTCCTTGCTTGTCGGCCTCCCCAATTCCTCCCTCCGTAGCCTGCAGATCATCCAGAGCTCTGCAGCCCGTGTCATCTCCTGCATCAGGCTCCATGACCCTATCACCCCCATCCTCGCCCGGTCTGCTTCACTTCCCCCGCCTCACTACCCCAGTATTGGTGGGCAGGCCTTCTGCCACTCTGCTCCCACCATCTGGAACTTATTCCCGTAATCCCTCCGCCTCTCCCCCTCCCTTGCCTCCTTCAAGACCCATCTCAAGACCCTCCTCTTCGACCATGCCTTCGATCTCCCTGCTTCCCCCCCTGCCCTCCATCCTCCCCGATCCCGACCCCCTGCTCGGGTCCGAAACTCTGACTGTCCTGCCTGCGCCTTGGGACGTCCTCCCAAAGTGAAAGGCGCTATTCAAATGTAATTTTGTTGTTGTTGGGTAAAGGTATCAATTCAAAGCATGTGTTGCCTCATTTTAGAGCCAGTACTTGCTGAATAGACAGACATCCTTTGCGTTTACAATCTTTAATTAGTTATATTCTGGTTACGAGAACAGTTAGACCATTATATGGTTTTGAATTTTTTTTAGAAAGGTGCAAATGTGTACTTTTCTGGATGACTGAACAAAGCTTTTAGGAACTTGTAGTATCTTGAAGAAAACTACAAAGTAGGCACATCTTGGATGTAATGCAATTAAGTAGAAAATGAAGGGACAATTGAGATAGAAGTAATGCATTTTTCAAGCTGATTGGAAACTGAAATGTAACATGCTAGACTGACAGTATCACTTTTATAAGAATGAACTGGCTGATTTTAGAAAGTATCCATGAACTGGTGATCTTGGCTTTCACAGCTAACTAAAGCCGGACAGGCTGTAAATTGATCATTACCATGAAAGCAAATTGATTTTTTTGATCCCAATGGTGAAGACAGAAACAATGTGCATATTTTAACCTGGATAGAATACCTTGTAACTTAAAATGCTTTAAAATATTTAGTTGGAAAATGATAACAAATGTAGCAGAGTTGGATTTCTTTTTACTTGCAACATATTGGATCTCAGGGCCTTGGGACGTCCTCCTGACGTGAAAGGCGCTTTACAAATGTAATTTTGTTGTTGTTGGATTGATTTCAAGCTCAAAATGATACTTGGCCGTTGATATCTTGGTGTTTTGCTTTTGTCTGCACTCAGTGCTACCACAATGCTATATTTTTTNGTGTGTGTAATTGATTTCATAATAATGCGCAAGTCAGATTGGACATTAAAACTAATAAATGTTAATGATTTCTGATTCTTGAAAACAGCTCAATTAAGATAGAAAAAGCATGAGAAGACATCATGAAAGATACTGTTCAGTTTTGTACATCATTTAAAATGCACTGAACTGCAGCAGCATTGCAAAATAGAACCTAGTGTGATATTTATAGATGTTCATTCAGTCAGAAATTTTCCTCTATTCTTCTTATAGATCATTGGCCCTAATTCCATGCCATGGTTACGATCCTTTTTAGACAAGATGACAATGCACCAACAGAGCTTGTTCAAGTTCATTGCCTGCAATGAGATTCTTTTGATGCCTGCATCTGTTTTTACATTGCTTGGGTAAGTGTTGAATCTAAACTTTTACCGTTTATCTTTCATGCTGAGGGCAGTAATCTCACTTAGATTAAACAAATTACATGGTTGTAATAAGTGATATACATGTCAGATGAAACATTCGTTTTATCAAACAAAACTTGCACTCCATTTGTACAGGAACAAAATGTTGTTTACATTTCTACTGTTACCATCTCAAATATTGACACTCAAATCTACAGCTTGCTTATTTAGCAGGATTTATTGTGTCAGCTTGTCTGACACATGCAGAAAACTATCACCATTCTAAAGAGTATCCAAACCAAACTGAGAGTTCCATGCATCCTGCCAACACGTGGCAATTCTCATGTATTGGAGTGGACTGTGCGCTCACTCCCTGGAGGGACACATCCTGCTTGCCTAATTCTGGAGAGTACTAGGTGCAGGATGGCAAGAGCCCAGGTTTGGGGACCCCAGAGTGTTGGAGTACTGCTGGAATGTAACCAGCTAAAACCACATAGCTTGCCAATGAAATCACGTTCTCGCTGCTTGTCAGGCTGGGAACACCCTACGCATTAGGGCTTTGGTTTGTAAGGTTAACAGTAACTGAGTGGCAAAAATCGCTGTCGCCAGTGACAAGTCTGCCCCTCCAAGCCCTGTGATGAGCTAGGTTGGCTGGTCTATCATCAGCAGTGCCCTGGAGTATTGCAGATCCGCCTGGCTCATGAGTATTTTTAACAATGTTCGGGGAACACTGGACATCAAGTGGTGAGAGGATGCTTCAGTCTTCCAGGAAAAGTATTTTTCCCACTTTACTTCAAATGTGGATAACAATACACATGTAATTTTCTTTAATTAGCTGTAAACTGCAAGCTTTGTGCAAGCCACAATATTGTGTGCTATGAGCCAATTTACTCAAATCTTTTCTACTGGTTTTATTGTCGTGTTTTAAACTTACCCTCTTCACTTCAAACTCTAAACCTAATTGTCTAAAGTTCATTTTAAACAGCTATACCTGAATCAATAACCTTTTTTTCCACTTGTTCAACCCTAAAATATTATATAGTGCAAACAAATGTGATAATTTTTTCCTGCAGATCCTACATGCACAGCAGCTGCTCTTTTCACCAGGATAGGGTTTTGTAAAACAGTGGTGATGGGCTGTCTGAGAATGGGAACTCACTGTGTGAGGGATTGCAGGCTCTAGTCCATAATATATTAGTCAAAACTATGCCAGCTCGGTTGGATGTGTGATCTTGCGACTATCACCCACATGTGTGTGTTTTTCGTGAGCCAAAGCTCTGAAACTCTGTTCTGAGAGATGATTGCGTACGAAACTAGTGTAATATAATAATTCTGGCCCAAATCATAGAACAAAGTTTGGTGACAGGTATATGAAATATATTTTTTTAAGTGAGTTATTTTCATGTGTTGGAAGTGTACCTATAATAATAATCGTTTAATTTAATATAGTCATGCCTGTACCATAGTCTCCAGACTTCAAGCCAATGTCAGAGCAGATTCCCTTCTTCTCAGAAGCAAATTATTTTAATTTAAATCCAATTTATCACAGTAAAATCTCGGTAGATCTAATGAATGTCACACTTAGTTATTACCGAAACTTACAAATTGTGCTGTAAAATTAACTTGTGCTATTCACACAAAAACACTTTACAGGTAAATACTGCAAACTGGATCTGCTTGGTACTATGCGTAGCATATCTTTGGGCTGTTGGCCTCAATTTCTTATATACAGTGGTCTTCCTGTAGGTGAATTCTCATGGTTGTGTCATCATTATACTCACAGCCTTCCCAGGAGAAATTCTTAGTGCATGTAAACCTAATGAAGTCAAACCTCAGAGACCGATTTCTCAGGATTTAGCCATTGCCAACTGCTGTTTCCTAAGGTGGTAATGGAGAGAACACCACTCCTGTCACTGGTCTAACTTTATGCTATCAAATCTGGAATACTAATGTGCTTGTAAAATAAATTGCATATGACCAAATCTAAAATGTTTTGGTGAAAGGATGCTAGTTTGTTGGTTACACAGTATTGTTCAATGAAGCCTCCAGGAGGCTGTTTGCATAGATGCTTATAATGAGTTTGATTTTCTTTTATTGTTTATTACCGGCTGGCTAGACTTTTGAAAGCTGATTTATTATCTTCACAAAAGCCCTATTAGTGCTTTGCAAGCATAGCTTGTACCTCAATGATATGAGCTACAAGCAACAATTAAACATGTTAGGGCTCTTCAGCCTTTAAAAGAGATGTCTCCAAGCGGTCCTGATAGAGGAATATAAGATTTTAAATCGGATTGAGAAAGCAAACCCCAAATAATACTTTCAGTTATGCCAGGGCACAGGTTCAGGGTAGCAAAGTGCATTTTCAGGACAGTAAGTATTGTTTTAGCAAGACCAGGAATTATCCACCTCAGTGGATAATTAACAACAGCAACAGGTTACCAGGAAGGGGGCACGACATTGAACTTGTATAAGAAACAACTTGGTGCTGTGCTATGAGAAAAGTAGAGCGTGTTATCTGGAAAGATGAGATCAAATGGGCCAAAAGGCCTTCATCTGAACTTCTCTTCTGATTTTGTGAAACCATGTCATTTTATTATTAATAATTATTGTTTTATCTAATCAAAACAAAGGTAGAGACTGGTTTAGAGGCAGATTTTCTCCTGCTATGTTTTTTAATTTAATTTTACTGAACTTGTACAGAGAGAGTAACCACACAGCACAGCTTCCCCTCTCTTGCAATATAAAAGATTTGTTTAAGATTAGAGAAAATGGAGAACAAAGGTGGGAAGAGAAATACAATCTTTTTTGTGTTATCTGACATCCTTCCACACATTAAAATAATCTTAAGTAGAAGTACAAAAAGCTCCTTAAAATTACACTTTGCCTTATGTAATTATGTATTTCTATCTTATAAAGATCAATACTGTCCATTTATCATATTCCCAAAGCGGGGTTTGCATTTTATTACTGGTAAACATCATAATCAAAATTGAAATGATTCTTTAGAGGCTTAAGATACCAAAATCTCCTTAAGTCAGGATGTACGGCAAGTCAATTTAGATTTGGTAACTGCTAAATTGTTTGTAAAAGACTACATATGGATGCTGGGCTGGCGTTTTGGAAACCATTTTTGGAAAAGGTTCACTTGGAAAGTCAGCAAATCTGCCAAAATTGTTTATTAATGTATTTTGCACTCAGAGGTTTCTCATGCCATTGTTGACTGGTCTTTGAAACTAAGGGAGGAATTATGAATGTAGAGAATGGCTATGTAGGAGCAAGCTGATTTATCTTCTTAGAACGCCTCATCAGTTTGATTATGCAATTAAAATCTGCATTGATAATATTAATCTTCAATGCCTCACTACTACATGACAGATTTGATATCTTTCAAATGAATGGCACGATTAGCATGCCCTACTGTATACATAAGTCCTGTATCATCAATGGCCTCAGTTGTACAAATTATTTATATCCCAGATTTCTTCTATAGATTTATTTAATCTCTAAATATTTTGTAAGGAAGAGTGTATCATTATATTTTCCGCTCTTTGTGAAACCATTCAAACCAATCTCTTGCTGTTTCTCAACCACAAGTACAACTTGCATTTGTATTGCATCCTTCACACATGATAGGATATAAGTGGTTGTGGCAGTGTTTTTTGCCCCACATATGTGATTGTGCAGGAATGTAATCTCAAATTGTTACCACACTCATGTTAGTTGAATAAAGATTGCTTAGACATTTTATTTTTAAAACAAATGTTTGGCCACAAGCAACAAATCTATCATTTTAAAAACCATTTACCTCCAAAGTCAAATGACGTCTTCCAACTTGGAACAAAGTCAGTGCCAAAGCCAGGTACATGTATGTGTTGCATCAGGGCTAGCATGTAGTGCATGATTTGGGGAGTAGACTAGACTAAGTAAAATCGGTAACTTAATTTTATGCATTTAAGTATATAGATGGGAAGCTTCCAGATAACCATTCAAGTGGAGAACGATGTTGATCACTCTTCTCTGCAAAGGTTGCAAGCCCTCTGTGAATGATTTCAGCTTGTTAGCCTAGTAATTGCTTCCAGCAGAAGATGTCAGTCTCCTAGCTTTTGAGTTCCTATTTTACAGAGCAATGAGGGTCTTGGGTCTGATTGTGCGAGTGTTTTGGGATGTTACATAGCTGCTATGAATCTAAGGAAACTGATCAAATACCTGGTAATGGTCAGAAATTAGGACTGCATATCAGAATTATTATCTCAATGTTTCCATTGTTTCATAGATTGACTTCAAGTGCTTGTTTGTCTTTAGTAGGAAAGATTATTTTAGCTCATTCTAGGGTGGTTCACTCTTTGGCTTAATCAGCTGTTATATTCCACAGTAAAATTTGAGCCTAAGAAAAAAACACATTCAATTTAGAAGTGTACTGGTAACACTGGTCTTGAGTTAAGAATTGGATTAGATTCTATTTTTTTCTTGGTCACCTGATGTTTGACACATGCTGAAACCCATTGCAATGTTTAAAAGTATCTGAAGACAACAGAGTTCCAAATATGTATGGTAATTTCCCTTTATGTGGAATGGAGTATATACTCTTATCAGAGAGGAACACAATCTGCTTACCTTACATGCTGTTTAAAGTACAGCGGTACCAAACATACACTCTGAATTATTCAAGCCCAGTATAGGTTGGCAAGAATGGCAAGAACTTTATGTTTGGTATTGCTGTACTTTAAAAGCTAAAACTGCCATTGCGAGCATTGTCTGGCAAGCTTGAGTCCCCACTGGGTGGATAACTGGTACCAGGAACTCTTTGTGATTCTCTTGATGAAAGCATTGCTACTATTTTCCAGCCATAGTCATACTCTATTAAGCAGTGATTCCACCAGTTGGAATCATGGAGCTTCAGCAGGAGTTGCTTACCTTTCTGCATACCAATCAACATAAATATCAAACTCTGGGTAGATAACCGGAACTTCAGATAACATCATCCAGCAGCTATTCAATGGGCA